ATAACATGTTATTGTTATTGCTGTCGTCGTCGTCGTCGTCGTCGACCTCGTTGTTGTTGTTCTTCAGAGCCGAGACACGTACGCTGATGGTGATACAGGAAAACCACAAAGCTAAAGAAAACTGCTTGGCTCAACAAGCTGTTCGGAAGCAGTATATTGTGTCTGGTGTGCCCTGTAGTCAAGCATTTTCTTACCGTACTTTTACAGCGTGATCTAGCTTCTTATAAAACAAAGGAGCGTTTCTAATGTACTAAGTCTAGAGCACTAACTTTTCACTGATTTTATCTTTAACGCTGTACTATATGTTTTGCTATTGCCTTTTTGTACTTACTCAAGTGCGTGACGAACAAAAAAAAAGTCCGTGAAGCTCTGCGCTGGTGTGCCAGCTATGAACGCATTTTTAGAGTCATCGGATGTCCAATCGATAAAGAAACACTGGGAGTTCCAATCGATTTCCCATTGGCCTCGCGTTTTAATTAACTCTGTCAAAGTCCTTAACGAGAAATTCATAGGTTTCCCGCTGACGTATACCGAGTCGTGATGAATTTGTGGCACATGCTCGCGAAGATGTAGGCTGCTGCCGAAAGTGCACCTAGCGACACCTCCCTTGCATACATTAGTCGAATGTTTACATTCTTGAGGAGATTTTAGGTGGAAGCCTTAAATGTCTGTTTTTTGGTTGCGTGTGCTGCATAACGCATTGTCCAAACATAGTAGTGTGTGTCCCAGCTTCGCGTACACTCCGTATCAATCGTCTCTGTGGCGTCACGTGAGTAAAAAAAAAACGCGAAAGTGAAACGTGTTCTAGTAGAAGTAGTCATAATTGTGTAGTGATATATGATATCTTCTACAATTTCTGTTGGCGTTCTATAGCACCATTCGGACGTGGACACAGTCACGTTGACGCCTAGTGGCCGTCTCCATTTGCGACTGCTATCACCCGTGATTGCGACGACTACCACCCCGATGCAATATTTAATATCGCTGATCGAGGGGCGAGAAGGAGAGGAGGCAACGCTACGAATGCAAGTCAATCACTTCCCGCGCTTCAACTCATTGAAAACGCATGAAATAAGTAATGAGAAAATACTCATAGAGAAAAAAGGTTTTTACAGAGGTATCGTTTTTTTTTTTTATTGGCAAAAAACTTATGAAAGCCAATAAATGCGAACATTCACATCAAGCTCTCTCGATTCAACCGAATCCTAGGATGCCCGGCAACAGCCACGAGCATGCATGTTCTCTTAAACCGAAACTAGCGTCCAGTTTCTGGGACCTGCCCCACAAGCGCAAGCTTCACCATCTCGTCGCGTTCTCTTTCGAAACATTGAGAGACTTGTCCAGTGATTCGACATCTTGACCACAGAAAAAACGATGACTGCGGAAGACACACGGGTGGTAAACTGTCCTCTCGTTTGTTCACGAGAAAGACGAAGCTAGCGAGTTGAAAGTTTACCGCTCGCCACGTCGTCCTCTTTCTTTCTTCTTCATTTTTGTGCGGTCAAGATGTGAACCAGTTAGCACCAACTAGGCCAGACTCAAGTTCTTCTGAAGTTCCCAATAATGCTAAAGGGAAAGGACAAATCGGCTTCGGCTTTTCTTTCTACATGAAATCGCCTAAGCGCAGGTGTGTTTTACGACATGTGATGAGTTCACTCCATGAAGTAAATGATTGGAGCAGGGGAGTTTTGGGGGCACATATGCCGGAAAAACTTCCATCTCGGCAAATTTTTGCTTCCAGTGATGGTACCCCTACTTTGACGTCCGTGCAAACCACTTTTAGGTTCTGTATTCTGCTGCACCAAATTTGTAAGAGAAGCGCAAATGACGATGTCTCCATCTATCTGAGCTTCTTTCTTCCTTGGCTCGCGTGTGTGAGGCCGTCCATGCATGAGACTCGTACTGCGAGCGGGCTTTTCTGCGCTTAGGTGTTACCATGTAGAAATAAAAGTGCACTAAAGCCGCAAACTAAAGCAGCCAGGTATGAGTGCCATATTGACATGGTGGCACACGACCTTTGTGATGTCGCATTAGTGTTATCACTTCAAGGCGTGCTGGAGTCTTCGTTACTCAAGCGCAGAGGCCCAGTGACTTCGTCGTCGCGTTGAAGCCGCCTGATTATACTGCTTCTAAGCAGCCATGTTGGAGTCATGTTGTGTGTCCATGACGTCACTTGCATGGTGCCAGTAATGCGACCGCGAGGATGTCACAATGGTGGAGAAGGTTGCGCTCTTCTCGGGAGATCCTCTGCAACTCTCACTTCCGCGATTCCTTGACCATGACCCCGAATATTTCACTGGCAAGACGCAGCCGTATACCTCTTTTGCGAGTTTTGATATCCCGCTGCCGGCAATGAAAACGACCTCTCAAAACATTTCAAGTGCGGCACTGCTGCGGTATCTAGCGAGGTTTCATCAGTATAGTAGTCAGAATATGTTAAACTATCAAATGGATCTTCAGCTACTCAACGGGAAGACAACACAGTTTGTCCAGACAGATGTGTACCAGAGGATAACGTTTGGCGTGTTGGTAAGACATCATTAATTAAATGGGGGTTTCTCATCTGTTTTGTCTGTTTTTTTTTCGCATTTCGAGAGCGTACGCTCTCCGAAATCAAATTTTGTTGGAAGTAAGCGCTCCCCCTTGTCTCTTCCCTTGTTCTGTGTCTCAGATATTTTGCGCACCACGTCATTAAATAAAAATCTGTTCTAATTTTTGTCCACGTGAACCGCCAAAAAGTATCTCGATTTCTGCGAGCACGCCTGCGACAAGAATGTTGGTGGGACCGCAAAGTGCATGGAATTGTGTTTGAGAGGCAGCGCACACACTAGACTTTCAAAAAGCTGGATGTGTATGCCATGGGTGTAGCCTTCAGATTTCATTCGCTTGGGACAAGGCTACATTGGCAGGTGGATATTTTGACCGTGGTCTCTGTTGGAAACAAAGACACTAGCAATTCAGTCGCTTCCATGGCCACTCTCTTAATTTAACTACAAAAGAAACAACCGACGGTCAACAGCTTTTACGATTGGTTAGTGTAATCAACCTAAACAACTGCCAGTAGCTGTGTGTGAAGGTAATAATGAGGCGTCATGGAAGCTGGCATTGCTGAGCAGGGAACGCTCGAAGTATCTCAGTGCCTTCGGCGAGGTCACATCTTCGGGTACGAACTCTGATTGAGAAAAGACGGATGCAACTAATGAACTTTGACGAATCATTATCCACCGCCGGTCATGCACTCTTTTCTTCCTTTTCTTACTATCTTTTTTTCTTTTCCCGCTTGCTGCTCAGTTTCTCCGTGACCGTCATCGCGAAAGGAAAAAGAAACCTAAATTGAAGGCTCTTGGTGGGCGGAAGACGATATGTGGTTGATTAATTGGACGCAGGCTCATTTGACACAGACGCCCCAGCGGATGGCGCAGATACACGCACCGTCTTCCGGTAATGAGCTGCCCTGCTTAACATAGCTGTCTCGTGAGGAAGCAAGAAGCCTCAAACTGGGCGAAGACGGCGATATAAGAGACAACTGCGAAGAAATGCATCGACTTGTTCGTATAAAGAAGAAAGATAGAAAGGAAGAAAGAGAGAAAGAAAGAAAGAAAGAAAGAAAGAAAGAAAGAAAGAAAGGGAAGGAAGTGAACTTTATTCCTCATTCACCAGGTAAACTAACGGGAAATCTGGATTCATTTGAGTTTGACACCGGGAAGGATAAATTTCTAGCATCTCTAGACATAAGAAAACGTAAGCTGTGTGCTTGAATTGCTCACGCTGATATTTTATCTATTCGCTTATATTTACTTCAAGGATACCTGACAGACACTATGTGAGGCGTGGCAAAAAAAAAAAAAGCATCACTCGACAGTCAACATAATAAACAACGGTTCTCTGCAGCCGTTTTAAACTGGACTAAGACTGTTGACGTTTCAGTATGGTTGAAGTTGCGGCCACTTGGTTCCAAACGGTTAAGAAAAGAAGCCAGTCAAGACGGCTATGAACAAAAAAGAGAAACGGCACACACATGAACTAACAGCTGTATTAGCAAACAGAGTTTTCCAGGAAAAACAACAACAACAACAACAACAACAACAACAACAACAACAACAACAGGCTGCTTGAAAACAAGGAAAACAGTTGATAGACGAGTGGTTGTGTATGCCACTCCGTTCCTTTGTTCCTCGTCTTCATGACTAGTTTATTCTCCCATCGTTAAGGAAGAAGCGCTCGCGTACATCGTGCCAGCTTTAGCCTGTATGTAGAAAAAACACATGCGGAAGGTCCTTGTTCCACTACGTTAGGTACTACAGCTTTGACATGATAATGACGTGATCTTCGATGGGCTTGCATGATGCATCCATTGCCCGTTAGATATAATCGCGATGTAGGCACAGACAACAGAAGTTGCAATAGGAGCAAGATGTGGAAGGTCAAGCCGAACTTTTACACTAGACATACAGGTGCGACTCGATGAATGAGACTGAATGAATGTGTTGGTTCTGGATGGTTAAAAGTGTATTATTGGAGTTTACTTGATGATCAAAAATGTGATTAGCGTGCTCAATTCTAGGTCTTAAAGCTATTATTTTAGTGGAGCTAGGTGGAAAGCTTAAGCTTGCGGAGGTAGGTTACCACGACGAGGTGTTCTGATGACATTGGCTGCATTCAAATTAATATTCAGTCTTTTAGTGCATGCAGTTTGTGAGTACTTTCATTACAGGTGGACGTGCTTGTTCCCAAATAAGACGTCACAGTAGACAATGACATTTTTTTAAATGGCTAGTTTGTCCTTTTATTAACGTTGACTGAATGACATTCATAACTGAATGAATGAATGAACGAAAAAAAAACTTTTGGGGGCTTGTTTCTTTGTTAGGCACAACCTTAGTTGCACAACCTGGTCATCATTAATGTTGTTCCATTCATAAGTGAAGTGCTTTGCGTGCACACGCTTGTATTGTGAGGTCTGCCTGGAGTGCTCATTTTTGTGCTTTCTGCACTCGCAGGGGTTTCGGATTCGTCACTTTCTCAGACCCAGCCAGCGTAGATAAAGTCCTAGCCAGCGGCCCTCATGAGTTGGACGGCAAGAAGGTGAGCAGTTTGCAAATTCATCGCTTTATCTTCTGATTTCAATCCTTTGCGCTGCGCAAGCCCTATACATTAGGGCTTGTTTCGTTGCATATCATTCGTAAAAAGCAGTCGGAGGAGTTGGAAGAATATGAATCAGAACTTGGAGGAGCTTCGCCTTCAATGGCAATTGGGCCCCGTGTGTATCGCCTTCTCAGTCGGTAAACCGCTTCGGTTCTCGTTGCATGCCTCAACTGTGTCACAAGGAAACGAACTTCTATAAGCGTAGCGTAGGTCCTTTCAAATGATTGGTATGTCTATATATATACTGTACGCAGAGTTTCGAAGTTCCCACTGCGCCGTAATTTTTCATTTGGCGAATCAGTGAAGGGTGCCGGACGCGTCCGTAGAGCAATGCACGAATCTACACGGGTGATCGCTGCGTCGGTTCGTTATGATGATTAGCACCTTGTAATGTATGGGCTTTTGAAACCCCATCTTGTTGCACAATTCATATTTTTTACGCATGGCGCAAGTCTACGCTTCTGCAGCGTAATATTACATGCAGAAAAGAGACCCCTCCCATCACATCGCTTCGATAATGTTGCTTTTGGGGGGCGGGGTGGAGAAGAGTTTCAACAATGGCGTGGCTGCATGTGGTATAGCACACACGCACACCCTCCCACACAAACACACACATACAACACATAAAAACGCGCTGACTCGCACGCACGCATGCTCCAGGACTGACAGCGACACTCATTTTACCCGCAAGACTTGGAAGAAAGGACTGTTGAGGAAAGCTGTGCGTCACATAATCACGTGGTCGCATCGTGCATGAAGGCAGGAGGCTAGGCATCCAAGGTGAAGCTCTTTATTTTGCCGAACTGCTGGACGGGAAACGGAAAATCCAAAATACACCAGTACATCCTGCGTACACTGATCGCGGCGAACACAACCTCGGCCGTCGATGATCTGATGCACGGTCAAGATGAATCGCTATTTCTGCACGCGTTTGTTGGAGAATAAACTCTGCTTTTCGCGTTTGCGCGCTCCAGCCTAAGATATGATCCTGAAATTAGCGGGAATGCTCTCAAACATTGTGGCGTGTTTTGTGCATGGCAGTATTTACACCTGCGATAGGCCGGTGATAACATATCAAAAAGTGTGTGTGTGTGTGCGTGTGGCAGTATCGAAAAATGGGGAAAACCAGAATGCAGCAGAGAGGAAGACGATAACACCAGGAGTGCGCCCTTGCGTATGTATGTATGTATGTATATATATATATATATATATATATATATATATATATATATATATATATATATATATATATATATATATATATATATATATATATATATATATATATATTCAGCCAGTTGCCGTTCGATCTGGCGGCCAATAGTTGTCCGGACACCTTCGCGGAATCGGATTCCAGCCGCGGCGGCGCGAGAATGCTTGATTCCCGTGTACCCTTCGATGTCTGTGCACGTGAAAGAACCCAAGGCGTGCTTTCAACCATATCGCGATTTTCGGTCGTTCATCATCATCAGCCTCAGTATACGTCCACTGCAGGACAAAGGCCTCTCCCTCGATCCGCCAGTCAACTCGGTCCTGTGCTTGCTGCTGCCACTTTACACCCGCAAACTTCCTAATCTCATCTGCCCACCTAACCTTTTGTGTCCCCCTCATCCGCCCGCTTTCTCTTGGCATGCTGTGTGTGATCTCTGTTGACCAGCGGTTATCTTGCCTTCGCGCTATGTGCCTTGCCCAGGACCTGTTCTTCTTGATTCCGGCTATGATGTCTTAATTGTAGAAGTCTGAAAATAATCTTGATTTCGACTATGAAATTTTTGTAGAAGTCTAAAAAATGGGCAGATTTAGATTACTAATAAGCTCAGTTAGGTTGCACTTTTTATGGAAATAGATAACTCTGCACCCTACCGAGTCAGGGGCAGGCGGGGGTTCAAGCAGGTGAGAGATCGATGAGAAGTCAAACGGCTCGAGCAGCATTCCCTCTTCCAGCATTTGAGCAGGTTGAATGATATCTGTGTGCGCGGGATGACACTTGGCGACAGGCAGGACGACGAAACAACCGCAGATGGAGACGGACGCAGCCGCGGCGAGGCGGATGATGCTGACTGCGCAGCTCTCTTCGTTGTGCGCCGACGCTCGTCTGCTTTCCTGACGAGATCAAAACGGGGCCAGAGGAACTTGCAGCGGAAAAATTGTGTGCGTGCGGCAGCTAGAAAAGACGCAGGGAAGCTTAGTGTGGAAACGAAGTAGCAAAAAAGCGAAGGCGTAAAAAAGACGAACGTTGTCAGCCGCCATTCCGTAACCGCGGCACTGACTCCTGTCTCACCGACGGTATTCTCGAATGTGATTTCTTTCATGGCGCTCCCGTTTTTTTTTAATGCTCTGCGCTTTTGAATCGAATGGATCCTCTGCAACGCCCCGAAGGAAAAGAATACCATAAATTTAAACTTGAGCTGCCACATTTGTCTATTCTGCATTCGAGAGAAACGGCGTTCTGCGAAACTTAATATTTGACTTGACCATATCTTAGCTGTGTGTTCTTCATCTACAGTTGAAACTACAGCCGTGTTTATGCTCAGAAAATACCCGACGTCTTGCTTGCTTTCTTTTGAAACCTTCAGAATGGTGCATCTAACTCCTTGATACTTGACGCTATAGTAAAGTGTCTTCTGCATGTCGCAAATTGGTTACACCTTTTCCTGCAGTTTTGACTCGTGCATGCCGGTCTTTAAACACACAGCTTTCAGTTATGTCAACTTTGAATATTCTAAACAAATGTGTGAAAAAAAACACAACAATTTCATTGTAGTGTTATGTCAGTCTCTTTGAAGTTCTTTCACGTTCGCTTCTAGTGTGGTTTAAGATATTTTTCTTGTTTTCAATATGTTCTGATGCGTTGAAGAATGAAGGTGTTCCCAAGATCTGCGAGTGATAGTTTTAATCGAAAATCATGCTATAGCCGGGAGGCGTGGCGCCTTTTCTCTAACCTAAGCTAAAGCTTTAATTACCATCATCTTCATAGTCAATAAAAATTTCTCTGTGAGTGACCATATTTCTCTGTGAGTGACCGTCAAGTATCTCAAGTTTTCGACGTGTACCACGGCTATTTTTGAGCTTTTCTTTGCTGCATCGCTTCTTGTTTGTTATTGTTGGTAACTGCATAAGTATTTGTACGTTGATTCAGCGAGAAGACTGACCGTCTGTTGGTCGGGTAAGACGAACATCTTTACAAAGATGCAAAAGTGAAAAAAAAAACACTTTTCAACGTGGTTTGAACCCGGGCTGCCATGTGCCGAATGCGAGCCGCGAGCCGCTTAATCTCAGGACTCTCAAATTCACCTATCTTTTCACTGCTGACAGCCTTGATTGATTGTGATATGTAGGGTTTAACGTCCCAAAACCACCATATGATTATGAGAGACGCACTGTTGACGGCCTTGCAGAGCCGCGCTTGCAGGATGTGAATGCAGCAGAATCATACGAATGCATTTTATCACGGTGTCCAGCAAATAAAAGACCTACACATAAAAAAATACACTTTCTGTGAAGACTGCGTTGACTTTCGTGGTGGTTGAGTATTATTCTCTACACTCGAGCGAAATATATACCTTGCGAAAATTCAATGCGAAACCCACCTTTCGGTAGTCGCTGTCGGAAGCTGGAAAGGAGATGAAAGACGGTGTTCGTTGGACGGCTGCAACCTACAATGAGATGCTTGCATTGACAACTGCGGGAGATATTTCGGCGGGGAAATCCTCCGAAGCTCTTGCACCTGGCTATTTTTAAATCAATGTATGAGCAGCACCATTCTATCCAGGTAGTATACGACCAAGCTTGAGACCAGAAGGCATGTATGTTTTTCTGAACGGCCCCTAAAAACACTCCGAGTTTGAAAAGAGAGAGAGCCTTCGCAACATTTCGTGCAGGCGCTATCTCTTCCTGCCCACTTATTTCCAGCGTGTCAGTGCAGCGTTAAGCCGATCATAATGTCACGCTTGTCGACAACGGGTTGTTGTGTCCGCTTGAGCTGTGAAACAAGAACGCAATAGACGAAGTGGATTTAGTTGAGCGCATGTTGGTCAAGCGAGAGCAGGCAAAATGGGCGTGCCATGGCATGGCGAAGCAGAAATAACTCGTGATTGATATCTCTAGGATGGCGTGGCGGTCTAATTGGTCTTGCATTTTAGACGTAATATCCCAAACATACGATGCAATCAAGTGCTTTGACTCTAGTGACGTCACCCGAATTCGCCTACTGGCGTCGCGGTGTGCGCCGAGAAGTTGAATAATGTCAGGATGGAATAACATGCACGTTCATTGCATTTTGAGGGACTGTGTAGGCGCACTCAGCTGGGTACACTTGCTTTGCAGTCAGTTACCGAATACAGTTTGACTTACTGCGCTGACCGCCTGCAGAGGTCCGCGTGTGCACAGAGCTGTTTGAAGTAAGTGCTGTGCATCACGCAAAAGTTCACAGTGCCATTGCTGGCTTTATTCGGGTTTCGCAATCCCTGCTGGCTGCAGGTTATAGCACGAAAAGGAGCGTGGCTTCGCGCCACAGCGAATGAAAAGGGAACACGAGAGATAATATATCGAAAGTTTTGAACCAAGTGATGCATCAGAGAGGGCCATGGCGAAAAGAATGAAACCGCGGCGGTGGGTGAATGTGTGGAGCTTAACGCGTTCAATCAAAACGAGAAATTGGACGGCGATGTCTCAAGCGGTTCCCTTCGGCCGAGGCCTCCATGGCAAACACAATAATCGAGAGGAAGTGGCCAGGAAGGAAAGAAAAGGCGACGCAGAAAAACCAGGCACCTCGCGGGAAGCGCTGTCTAAAGTGGCCCTTATGATTGATGCCGACTTTGAACCGTCCCGTGCGCCTTTTTCTTTTTATGCTGCAACATCCTTGCAGTATATCGTTTCACATCACATTTCTTCATCTATAGTCCCCTTCCCTGCCTCTTTGCGTTGTGTCTCTGCGTGTT